CTCGGCACCGGGCACCGCCTCGGTATACAAAATGCGCCTGCGGGGCGGACCCTCACAGATCACAGCTCACAACTGACCATCGTCCCTCCCCCCCGGCTCTTTTCTCTGTTTTCTCTTTGTTGCTTGCTTTCTTTCTTTCCCCCGAGAGGGTGGTTGAGCTGTCGAGCAGCCACATCATACACCGGCTTCTATCTCTTCACCGGCCTCGCTCAACCGCACGAACGCGCTCTCTCTCTCGACTGTGGGTGGTTGAAGACACGTAGACACTGTACACATATATGCGCGTAAGTCAACTAACCGCCCTTCTCCTGCTCAATCAACCCACGAGAGGCACGCTGCAAGCCCGTACCCGCGTCATCAAGCCATGCACCGCTGTTCAAAACCGTTCCCGCACGCCGCCAATTGCGCCAAAAGTTCTTAGTTCCAACATTCACCGCCTCCTGCGCGACAACGACCTGATAAGTGCATCGTGAACGCCATCTCGTCTGGCACCAACCCGATGCGCGACGTACCAAGATCGCCTTCGTGGCTCATCGCAAGACCTTTGTTGTCACAACCAGATCTTGAGTTGGACGGGGGCCAACACTTGACAGCTCTGCGAGCAGCTGGCAGGCGGGGGCGCGAGGCCGGCGCCAGAGGAAGAAGCGGAACGATAGCGTGGGCATGGCGGCTGCGTAACGACAGCGTCTCCACCCCAGCTGTACGTCCCCAGACGCCGAATCGCGTGTGCGCGCTGCTCGGGGCCGTGGGAGGTCTGTGTCGCACGCGTGTGCGACCCCGATGGACGTCCCGTTCGATACGACTGTACGTACTTTTAGCTTACTGGGAGAAAAGAGAGAGGGGGTTGTGTTCTCTAGGCCCCTAGGGGCCCTACGCGCGGCGTGAGAGCTCGGAAGCGAGCTTAGCACGGCGATCGAGGATGGCACGGTTCACCCCCTTCACCGAAGCGATGGAGATGCGTTCCGCGTGGTGTGACACAAATGAGAGGCGGGAGTGGGGAGGGTACGCGGTGCGGTCAACGCCCGAGCGTTGAGCCTTGCGCGCAAGGCGGTTGATCTTTGCAACTGCAGGCGGCGAGAAGCCGCCGCCGAATGTCTCGTGGAGAAGCAGGTTGAACTTGTTTCGTTTGCC